GCCAGAGCTGCAGGCCTGTGGAGGAGGAAGCCGTGAAGGTTTTATCACACAACTTTTCCTACCCCCGGCCATTGGGTCCCCTCGTTGGCAAACGGGGCCCAAGCGGCCTCCTGAGCCTCCCCCCACCCCCAGCATGGTGGGGGGGAAGCTCGGGTTGGTGTTCCCTGCTCAGCCGCCGGAAAGACAAAGAGCCTCAGTTCGGAATTACCTCCCTCAAAATGTGTGTGCACGGAAAAAACTAACTTTCTCTAATTGGCTGTTGCAGGTGTCCCAACCCCCACACAGGAAATTCTTTTAGAGAAAATCTCTCTCTGAGTTTCTTCTTCCCAAGTCAACCCATCACAGTTTGGCACTGTGAGAGGAGTAATTTAGGAAGTTAAAGTTGCACAGTTCATTTGAACGCAAGCATGATAAATTTCACAAGATTTTTATAGCTGGTGTGATGTGCAACCCTCAGCTAGGAGTAAATCTGTCCAGCTCCTCAGTGTTTTTTGGAGACACCATGCCTCTTCCTAGGTTCCTTCAACAGGTGGCCTTCGTGCTTATAAACTCTCTGCAATAATGCAGGTTATTTTCCAGATTACCTTCAAGCTCAATGCAGTGCTCTAGCCATATCTGCACCTTAGATTTGCTATGTTCAGAAATAACTAAAGTGTAAATTTCTGGGGAATATGATGCTTATGACAGTATTTGAGAAGCAGTTTGTAGCAGGTGTGAGATCAGCATTTTTCATGACAATTAAAATCTTATTTCATATTTGAAAATAAATATTCCTTTTGCTTTTACCAGCAGTGTTTTTGAAGCATATCATATAGATACAATGTCTAGTTGTTTCATTCTAAACACCTTTTTTGGACACAACACTACATGATAAGAAACCTGTGAAGTATTTCTCCATTTCTTCAGAAAAAGAAAAAACAAGAGCAAACAGATCCTTATGGGACATGGAAAACCCTGATATGCTGTGTGAAGGTCCTGGCACAATGTCTTTTTTTCTAGCCTTTTCTTTTTTTAACCCAAGATAGGAACACAAGCCTGAGGTAAATTGTTGTTCAGTGAAACTGGATTTTGTTTTGAGCTCTGAGTGTTTTTCTATTAGTCTCTCTTAGTGCATGACTGCAGGTGCTCTTTACGCTCATTTTATCTCTCCATGTGGTTAGCTGCAAGCTTGAAAATCTTGATCTAGACACATATCTGTCCCTGCAGCATATTAAAAAGAGTGATTGCCAGTGGTCTAACTTTTACCTTTCTTTTTCCTCTAGGGAGAGTGACAAGGGAGATGACACAGTGAAGAGTGAGAAAGTGTAAGGAAAGAAAGTTTACCAATCTCACTCATAATCTGAGACTGATGTCAAAACAAATGTCTGGTGAGTGAAAGGGATGAGGTTTGCCATTTAACTCCGACTCTAGTTGTTTTGTTGTCTGCCTTGGTGCTGTGAGATGTGGGTCCACACTCCCCACAGCCCTAAATTTGCAGGAATCTGTCTGTAAGCATCAGTTTCCCTGTCAACAACAGACATTTGCTCTGTGTTGCAGTGAGACTGGGCACAGGCATCTGAAAAGAGTAAAATTTCTCTCTTTGGCACATAACATCTTGTGGGTTTTTTCCTATTAGATAATATTTAAAGTGTCTTCCCTCCACACATCCATCTAATTCTGCTTGTTTGGTTCTTTTAGCACTATTATTTTCCCCATTATGATGACCAGCACTATGAAACCTGGCAACAAGGTTGTTTTTATCAGTGACTGCCCAACAGGAATATCCGTGTGACTCCTGGAAAAATTTGCAAACAAAGTTTCTTTGTTTTGTGACACTTAAGTTACAGCTAACTTGGTTGTCAGGAGAGGTGCTTCAGAGAAATGACCGTGAAAAGCACTGTCTTATGTTAGTTTATGTTGCCAAACCTGAAGTTCAAGAAACAGCTTCAGAAGTTAAATAAAGGGCTTCAGAAAAGATGAAGAGACTTTATTTCCAGAGGACTGGAGATGAAATTGTAAAAGCTCTGTACCTGTTTTGGTTTGCAGGTGACCCTCACTTTTCATAGCATGTAGTACCATTCATTGGTTATTTTCACTAAAACTATGTTGAAGCACATTTAGAGTATTGATATCTGCAGATGAAATTCATGTCCCAGTTTTGTGCCACATTACGAGGAGCCTGATAGCGATCTTGAAGTCGCTGTCATTTCACCTATTTGCCATTAAAAATAATTATGTCCTGGCATCAGATTCTTTGCAACTTCATGTATCAGATGATCTCTCAGGGAAAACACTACATAGAACATGAGCAAAACAAGAATGACAGAATCGTCATTTGTTACTTGAATTCATCTCTCCTAATTATCCCGATTTTAACTGTTTCTACTCTGACAGTTATTAATTATACACCTGGTTTCTGAATTTCCAGGTTTAGTGTCTACATAATATTTTTCATTGTTGCAACAAATAGGTTTATCAGGAAACACTGAGTATTTGGAACTATACTACAGAGTGTGGTTCTATTTTTTGGTAAAATGTGCATTTCTTTTGTAAACTCGTTCATTCCATTTTGGTTTTAATGAAAGATTTTTTTTAATTCCTTCAAGAAATGGCATTATATTAAAGATACATATAAAAGGAGTAATCTTGTGTGTTTTTCCTTTGATGGAAAGCATTCTGATACTCAAAAGACATTTGATGCCCCTATCTGACCTGGATACTGGAAATTCTGTGCTTTGCCTCCAGATTTTACTTTCTCCAGTTTGCCATTCTCTTCAGACTCTTACTACCAGTGATATGAAATGCTGTGCACTGATAGGTATTGACAGGTCCTGATTAAAATTCATTTCACATCGCCTGCTATTACTTCAAAGGAGCAAAGATCTTTTTTTGAAATAAAATCTAAGTTTTCTTTGAGGTGGTGAGCATGAAAACTGTGTCTTTGTTTGATAAGCAACATCTGATGATTCCTTTCTTTTCAACTCAACGACTGGTCACTACTGAAAACCTGTAAAAGCTGGATTTTGCTTTTGTCACATGCAGGTGCTGCTGACAGCTAACAAACTGCTATTTGGAAAGCAGTGCTTATCCTTACCAATTTCCTAAGGCAGAAGAAATAGAAAAAAGGTACCACAGCTTGAGGCATAGAATTTATTTTTGAGCTAGCTCTGTATATTTTGACTCAAGGGAAGCTGCTGCATTTCAATACAATTTTCTTCTGTTCATGGCCATTTCGAACTTGGTAGTTAAATCTCATTCCCCTTTCATTCTGCTCCAAGTTGCATGTAAACTTCCAGTAACTTTTGCCTCCTTTTCCTGATTCTGAACAAGTCCAAGTCAATTTTGCATTGGCACATTGGCATGTGGGACCTAAATAGCAGACAGTAAAAAAACTTGTCATCTGAAACTGAACTGAACCAAGTAAATTTAAACAGAACACTTCTCTTGCATTTGCTTCCTTACCTCAAACAGTTTTAATTGATTTCCAAGAACCAAATTTCAACCACAAATTTTGATCATCAATCCTGGCCTTAGTCACCAAGGTCATGGGGAAAATAAAAGCATAGATCTTTGAGTCTTTTCTCTTCCTTGGACTAGCTCTCTTCTGATTTCTCTGCCCTCTATTACTGCCAACATGTAGTACAACAATGCAACAAACAGCAGAGAAAAGTGATACTGTGTTAAGGAAAGATGTGAGTCTTACATTTTCCAGGTTTGCCAGAGAAAAATAACATCTTACTAAAACATTACGTAACTCATGGTTGATTTAATAAATATATTTCTTTGGCCAGACTCCAAACACTTTGAAAATCTCAGCAATAAAAGATAGCCTTATAGTTCAGACCTGCTTTCAGCAGAAAGTCCTCAACACTTCCCATCTTCCCCATCACCCAGCCTATAAAGGCTACTGTTGTTGGCATAATATCTCACATGGTACAGACAGACCTTCCATTGTGATCCTCCAGCCACCATAAAAATGGTAGATCAAGTCTGCTTTTTGCAGGCTCTCACCAGTAAAAATGGTGCTTCCTCTTTCCATAGGATCCAGTAAAGTCACGGGTCCTAGAAAGTGGCATTTCCACATTAAGAAAAATTAGCCTTAGTCTGCGCCGATCCTTAGCCCGTGCCAGCTCCTAAATGCTTATTGCCAGCTGGCACATGGGCACTGGCAATACTGCAAGGATGCAAAATAATCAGTTTAGCTGAACTCAGCAGTAAAGAATACTAGGAAAGAGGTGTTTGGGCCATCAGCAGAGTATCAACAGGACTAGAGTTAATAAAAAATTAAGGACAAGTAACCTTGGCATTGGTGAATGACTTCAGGAAAAGTGGACATCCAAGTTGTCTGACTCAGAGGTAACTAAGCCTTATTCACAAAGCCCAGATAAGACTAACAGCAGGTCTGATGTAGTCGATGAAGATGAACCTGTTTTGTGAAATACATCCTTAGCAGCTTTCAGTGACTGCAAAGTGGCATCAGACAACTTCACGTGCTCTGTCAATAAGACTTAGCATGGATAAACAAACAAAAGCCTGGGTAAAATCCAGAACTTTAACACAAGGATATCCCAATTCGAGATTAGCACAGAAAGAAGAGGAGGAACAGAAAGATAAGGGCACCAGTATGGAAGATATACATCTTCATTGCTGTGTGTGTAAGCAGGTTGTATGTCATGTTGTAGTGGAGACTGGGTAGAGGTAATTAACAGCTCCACAATACTGAACAGAATTGGATATAACCTCCAATTTAGAGCAATTGCCTTCATTTTCTGCCCACCTACCTGTCCTCCGTCCTTCTCAAGAGATTCAGAAGACCGTGTGTCCTTCTTCCTTTGACCTGATTTTATTTGCTCAGTACTTCACTATGTTTGGCATCTGTTGATGCATTTTCCTCCTTTCTTGTTGACTGTAGCTTTCTCATGGGGAGCTGAAGTTCTGAGTTCAGTGTGGGCATTGCTTGGCTGACTGATTCTTCCCAAATCTAGCTGAACAAGGCAAAAATACATAGAAAATAAATCTTTGAGCATTATTTATAGCAAGTGTTTTTTCCGTCCTGTGGGACACTAACTTGTTTCATGTCAGGATGAAACTAGTATTTTTCAGAAATAATATTTTAAAGTTATTAAATAATTGTAGTTTTTAAGGGAAAATAGGAAATCACACTTCATGTCTACAAAGGCCTCTTTTATTCCAAGTAACCACTAGCTCAATTATGATCGTTCTTACCTCACCTTACCTAGCATCCGGGTGGCCTGGCTATACTTTGTCCCTGGTCTGAGCATACTTCAGTCACAGAAATTACCTGGCCCTGAAACATGCAAAAACATTCAGAAGAGAAAAGCAGTAGAAGCAATTCTAATCACCAGTAGTGTGTCTGGTTCATTGTTAAGAATAATATAACTCAGTATAATATCAATAGACAAAAAAAATGTTGCGAATATTCACCCTGAGTTTTGTGAGACTCTAGCTGACTCTATTTCTTCACCTTTGCTTAACATAAAAATAGTTTTAGAAAATAAGGGGTAAGTCATATGCAGAAAGGCCTATCAGTAGTGGGAAAAAATAATGAAGGTAACGCATCATTATGGTAATACAGAGGAAATAAATGCTATTCTTTTTGTTTTGAAATAATTCAAAGGACTGAAAAATTAAATAATAAACTTGTACCAGGACAAGTTAAGTGATGTCATGGGCTATGCCACAGGACCCAGGCAGAACCTCCTGTATTATGACCTCCTTGAACCTGTTCTGTTAATGAACACACATCTTCCATTAACAGCTCGGGCTCCCCTGAGGCAGCACAAGTGTTGAATCTGCTCAGTGCTCTTTGACTGGGTTATTTAAAACATATGCCTTGCAATTGTTATCCACCTCCACTGCACCATCATCCACCCTAGAACTCCCTGATTCTGTGCAAGCAGACAATTTAAAAGACCAAAACCGACAGACAGTCAGCATTCACCTTCTGTCCTGGAAAGACTGAAATTGACATTCCTATGGTCTGTTTCAAGAATAATATAGATTTACAAGGAGAAATGCAGCCAGAAAATATCATAATCACGGCATCATCATTACTGAGGAAATGCTGTAATCCTGCTGGTTCGCTTGCTAATAGCCCATTTCTCCAGTGCAGGCATACTTCCCACAGCTGGCAATGGCCCAAAAGCTGTGCCAGCTTTATTCAGCACATAACAACATGGCAGAAAGAAAAAGTGAGGGGAACCATAAGAATGGCTGCATCTTAGCTGCACATCCCAGTGCAACTACTACATAAGGTGGATAACCATGCTCACTTGGAAATATTAAGATAAACATTTAAAATACCGAGGTCAGATTTTATTAAGTCTATTTGCCGTTCTCACACATTTCCCTGCACTTGAATCACAGG